TATTAAAGGAACTACTCACTTATGCAGGAAAAGAAACTCAGATTCTTTCTATAAAGAACTAGGCACCATGCTAAGTGATAAAGTTACTGTGCTGTTGTCTTTTTTTCCCTCCCCTTCCTCCCGCCCCCTGGCCCCGAGTCATCGCTAGGTTCTAATTTCCAATCTTGCAATTCACAACTGAGTGCTTAACTATTGCACTACTAGCACTCCTGGGCACAGAATATGTGAAAGAAAATAACCAGGCTTCTGCTCTGCTCTCTCTTGGTCTTCCAGTCTTCGTTTGCCTCCCCTGCTTAACTTTCTCACAGCCACATTCACACCAATGAGAAGAGGCTGATTCACTAGATGAAATCAGAGCTTGTGAGCATTACCTCCAGGGCAGACATGTTAACCCCCTTACCACCTCACCTCTCCAAACGCTGGAAAAGAAAACACATCTGACAGGGTCTCTGTGAGAGCGTTTTTAAGTCAGCTAATAAGAACCACTGATTAAGTCTTGCAAAGAACTTATTTACAACTAAATTGATACTGCTGTTGTTCCTGGGAAGTTATTCCTGCCAGTACATCCACATAAACCCAAGAGAACATTTGAAAATCCAGTGAGACGTCTGTGCTAGAAGATGTGGATTAAAGAACTCTGGCCCGCTGCTTCCTTGGTACTTTAGATGGTATCTGGCAAGTTGCTCCTGTGTGTAAGTGTCAAACTCTCTCAGTTGTTAAGAGGTGCTTAGTTCACGTGTCTGTTCCTCTTCTACATGGATACGCAGGCCTAGATAGACATGTGCCTCAGGATAGCGTGGTTTCCTCAAAGAGAAAGGAACCCAAATTGGACTCAGCAATCTAAGTGTTTGTCTGAATGTTCACTGCTTCTTATCTGTTAGTCATTTTTACTTCAGAGAGTTTCCTAAGAGAACCTCGTTAGAATGGGGAGGCTTGAAATTAATATTTTTTTTTTAAAAATGCAATTATTACAAAATAGTCTTCCAAGAATTGGGTTTAGTTAACTAATACCACAGCCTTCATGTCAGTGTTCTTTATTGCTTCCTGGATATGTTATTTTTTTTTTTCTGACACATGGGTTTTGTGTGTGATGAGAAACACCAGAGATTTTAAGATAGGCAAACCCCCGAAGGACAGGCATGGAAGCCATAGCAGGGCCTTCTGAGAAAGAAAGCGAGTGGAGGACTTGCAATTTCTTTTGGAGGCCCCATGTTGGGATTTTCTAGGTTGACATGAAATGAGTCAACTTGACCAACCATTGTATTGCTTATAATGGACACTCTTGTTATTGTTGTTCATTATCTTAGTTGGCCTTTGACTCATGGAAAACCCATGGGATCAAACAGTTGTGATCCATATGGTTGGGTTTAGGAATCAGATTACCAGGCCATTCTTCCTGGTGTGTGTTAATCTAGAAGCTTCACGAAAATTTACCTGTTTTACCTCATTGCTCATTACCATCAAGTGAGAGCTGACTCATAGCTGACCCTTCATTGGGTTTCCAAGGCTGTAAATGGCATGAAAAGAGATTTCCCATCTTTTTCTCACAGAGCAGCTAGTAGATTCAAACCTCCAGAAAGGAGGAGTCTCTGGGTTAGCTCAATTCCCTACAGACTACGCCACCATAGCACAAATCTCCACTCACAGATGAATCGTGGCTGTACTGAGGTGCATTGCCTGGGAATTGGACTAGAGTCTTCTGCATAGGAGGAAAGAATGCTACCATGGAACTACCACTGGTGCATACGGAGCTTTACCTGGTGTTTTAGAGAAGCTGTGGTATGTTCACACAATGAAATACTACGCTGCATTGAAAAACAAGGAACTCATGCAATATTATTCAAAATGGGTGAGCCTGGAGGACATTATGCTGAGTGAA